ATTAAAAGATCTTTTATAAAAAAATTTACCAAATAACTTTTTACTCTGCAAGTACTTTTATAAAAAAATTTACCAAACACTTCTAATTTCTCAAAAACAACACTTCTACAACAGATTCCCTCTAACAGGACTTCTATTAAAAGCTCCAGCCACACCAAACAGGCTCTTAATCCAAAGTAAAAAGTAACCAGATAGCCTTATTTTTATTTTTATTTTTTCCGATATTTCTTCTCCAACCCCAACTGGTTCCCCTTCCCTTTTAAAAAATAAAACATTGCCTTTCCCTTCTCCCTCTAATCCTTCTCACCCAGCCCTAATTGATTCCCCTCTTAAAATCAACCAAAAAACCATCCGAAAATTTAACCAACCGCCCTCTCCAATGCACTTTTGGTTGGTTGCTCTTTTCCAGAATTTGTGCAATCCTCACCCAGTCGGCCAGTCCCATCGGTCACCACTTTAAATTAAATCCCCCAAATCCCATTTTAAGATCCACCCCTCTATAATCCCTTGAATCTAAATCTAGAAAATACTCTAAACCCATAGATTGATCAACATCGAATTCTCTGAATTCAAAATCATAGAGTAAAAACAAAAGGGATGAACAAAAGGATCCTTATTTGGGAGCAGAAGTTGACGCTGGAGAAAGCAATGTTGGTTTTACAAAAAAAAGAATTATAAGGAGAGGTCGACTACAGGGAAGATTTGTCATTCAGGTGACCTAAAATCATTTTTTCTATAAATGCATGACTTATTTTATTGTTAAATTGTTAAATGGTTGGCTGCAATCTTAAAAACTTGATGAAATATGTCTAGCATAGCTGTTGCTGCTTAATCCTCTCTCGAACTTTGGTAGCCTCTTCCTAGTTGATGTAGTTAGAATTAGGGTTCAACTCGTTCTTTATATATTAGTTAAGAGGATAAGTCTGGAAGATAATCTAATAGCATTTAAATAGAATTGAAATGTGCAATTTAACATTTCTATTGGTCAACGAGAAAAAAAACGCTATCTAACTTTTTTTTTATTAGAGTATTTGTGATAAATTTTAATTATTTAAATAGAAAAATCGAATAAACTGAACTTAAACAAAATCAAATTTTAAATTAAAATTTAATAATTTAAAATGAAAACATAAATACCCATTAACTTTTTATTATCGGTTTTTGAAGAATTTTAGGTTTCAAAATCAGTCTTCTTCCCACCATCCCTTGAAGAAAATTGTGGTTTCTCATTATTTAAGGTTTTGATGGCAAAATCCTAGGTAATATTTCTTTCAAATTTCCTGCAACTTAAGGCAATCTTGTCATCTTAACCTTACTAGTTGTTGTTTATCGATGATATTTGACCTATCTTTTTCCAATTTAGTGCTCTTTAAGCAACCTCTTTATAGATGATATATGATTTATTTTTTTTGTTTTAGTGCTCTTTAAGCTTTCTCTAAACAAAAGCCATAAAAAAGACATCTTTTAGGTTTTGTTATTTGGTTTGCCCTCTGTGCATCCTTCTTCCATAATTTTCTTAATTTTTTTCATTTTTGCTATTTTTTGTGTTTTCAAAAAGCAACGCACCACTCAACAGTATCGTTCTCAGCCAAATCCAACGAGGCGCTGTCTTAATTTTGACTAAGAACTTCATCTGCAATCTATTTGTCTAATTTGTTTTTTAGCTGGACATGTTGCTGATACCTGTCCTAAGATTTTGGGTAACATTTTGAGGGATACAGATTCATGTATTAGGGAGGTAAGTGTTTTTCTTCATTTGTTTTGCTTCCATGTTTTTCCATGGTTTCAAGTTAATGATATCACTTTTTCCCTTTGTAATGCATAGATATTGTACATATATTTACCGATACTTAGGGAATTAGATGCAAAAAGAGGCAGTGATGCATAGAGGATTACAACTGGATTTAGTATAAAACTATTTTTCCTTTTTTACTTGTCCCTGCTAGCTATTTATGTTGTTTACAATATTAATCTTTTTATTAAATCTTTATCATTGTGAAATATTAGCAGCTGGAGTTGCTCAAATAAAAGCCACAGGGCATACTCTTGAACTCCCAGATGACAGTTCCATTGATGGAGTTCATGTGAATGATTTATACTTTTCATTTCCTAACTCTTTGCATAGAGATACTCCTGAAAGCCCGATATCACCAAGTCTGCCAAATTATGTTAGTAATTCAGATGATGGGAATGGTATATTTGAATCACCAAAACTGCCAAGTTATGTTAGTGATTCAGATGATGAGAATGGTATATTTACTTGATACTATCAATCCTTTTCCCACTCTATAATTTTAGAACACTATTGAACTGGTTTTTATATTGATGGTTTGTTTGTAGGTAATTAAATGTGTAGGTGATTTGATGGTCTGTCTATTACCATGAGGTGAGGTGAGTGTGATTCATACTTTTTGTTAAATTTATATTTGATAGTATATATTTCTATGTTTTAATATGGAGTTAATAAATTTTTTTGTGAAATTGCATAAGTTAGAGATGTAAAACATGTTTTATCATTCTAAATACTATAAAGGTAGCAATTCATAAAAGCAATCAAAAGACTCTTCTTTGTTCATTTTTAGTAGTTTTATCTTCCCAATTTTAATTAGTTATGCTTGCCTTTTTTGTGTATTTATTATTGTCCACCCACATAGCAGTCAGTGTCTAAATTTTCTATTAACATATCATATAATCTTCATGGTGACCATTCAGGTGCATTTTCAAAGGCCTCATCCTCTCTCATATCGTTTAACATTCTATTCAATTAAGCTTCTTTTTTTTTTAATGGAGCATTTGGAAGAAGATGGGGAGTAACTGATGTAGATAGGGAAGGAAATTCTGAATATAAAGGAATATTAAATTATCAGTAAGATTTACCTACTATCTTTCAGGATTTATATTGTTCAATAAAGATAAGCTTCTTTGTCTTTGTGATGAACTTACCCTTGTTGATTGCCAAAGTATATTCCCAAACCATGCCTCTCACCTGCTGAGTTTTTTTATGCTATTATATCTGCCACAGATTCTTCAATCTATTATATTGTACGTCAATGGGTTCTGTATTTTACTTTTTTGCTTAATTTCTCTTGTTGCTAGGTAGCTGTCAACTTTTTCAGGAACTTGTCACTTAAAGCACAAGTTCTTTGGCTAACTGTCCAATTGTGACCGTACTTATTGAATTGTCTTGGGCCATCTCCATGTACATGCATAAAGATTAAAGACATTGTTGCATACAAACACACACATAGGACAAAGCCTTTATGCTTTGAACGTTGAGATGGTTCTGGTTGCAGTTATTAGTGTTGAACTTATTGGTGATGGTGGAAATGGGTTAGTAAAACTAGAATACTAGATGAAGTTCATCTATTCTTTAATCCTTTTAATTTTAATTATAGGTGGTTTTGATAATTAATTACTAAGGATGGCTTTGATTGTGAAGTAATGCTTGATTGATTGCTTCAACTCTTTTGTATGTTTTGTGATATATCCTTGTCAATGTTTTAATGGTAAACTTGGCCCATGACCATGTGCAGCATCCTTAGGTTCTAAGGTTTGGAATGCCATTAATGTTTACCGCCAATATGTATTTATACTTTTTTGGCTGATTCTTTGAAGTTTGTTGTTCTACAGTGCTATAATGGGCACACTACTAGAAAAATGACGTATACGGACCGAACATATACGGATCGAATATTGTCGGTCCGAAAAAATAAATATTCGAGCCAATACCGGTCCGAATATATTCAGGTGGCGCAATATATACTAATCAACATATTCGGACCGGTATCGGTCCGTATATTTCTGGCAGGAATCCACAGTATAAAAGCACCAATAATATTCAGACCGAAAATGGTCCAAATATTATTTCTGAAAAAAATAAATATTAAATAACAAAAAATATGAATAAGATATTATTTAAATAAATATATACAGACCAGCTTCGGTCTGTATATATCCATTAGGAAATACGAAATTTCATTTTGATATTTGGACCGATTTCGGTCCGTATATTTATTATTTTTCATAAAAAATAAATATTAAATAACAAAAATTAGAAATGAATTATTATTTTTAATGAAACTATACGGACCGAAATCGGTCCGTATATATTATGTTGAAAACCGTATATATTAATTTACTATACGGATCGGGATCGGTCCGTATATACATATTCGGACCGATCCCAGTCTGAAAATGTGCGTCAGGAATCTCTGAATTGATTGGACGCTGGGGCCCACCCTCAATTGTTTTCGGACCAGGATCGATCTGGATAAGGCCGCAT